GGTGTAGTTGAAGGATGTGGAAGACGAAGGCTATATTTACGAAAATTGGCACCCTCAACGACAACGTGTCTACGGAACTCACCAAAAATATATTACACGCGAACGACTTCCGGCGGGGTAAGGGCAGCGTCTGCTTGCCAAAAACTGCGAATACTACCCAGAGTAACTAAGGACGCCACAGACAGACGGCAAAACGATATCATTAAGATCTTCATGGCTAATCACAATACCATAACTCTGTTTTTAGACGCGCTCGTCGACATCTACAGCTTGAAACGAACATGGTCAAAGCAGTTGTTTTCGAAACCCTAAAATCCATCGAACAACTGTGATCAGATATTCCTTTGTAAAGCGTACCAAAACTGGGCTTTTCCAGGCAGTTTAGGATTCATCGTAAAGAAAATGGCTGTACCGATCGTACTGAGCTACGACCTCACATCAGCTCGTGTCGAAATCATATTTCTGCTAAGGGAGAAGAGAAGATCAGATGGTCGAAATTTACAACCCAACAAAGAATGCGGACGATAAAGAAGTGGAGCGGTTTTGTGAGAAACTGCAAAACGTGATGCAGGGTGCCTGCATGCACAATAGACTCCAAGTAGATTTCAACGCCATACAAATGAAGACAGAAATGAAACCGTTTGGAAGTGAAGAGCGAAACAAACGAGGCTCCCGCCTCGTAGCGTTTGCCGATGATATCATGAATATCATGTTTGAGAAAAAACGAGAAGCGGCAACGAACGTAGAGGAACGATCCTTAACCAAGCGTAATATTGTAATAAGTGTAATGTCTGCTGACGGACGCAAGTCGGCTAATAACAGATGTCTTTCGTTGAATAAAACGTGCATGGGGTCAGATCGCAGAGTAATTGGTTCCACAATCGCATTCGATATTGCCAAAGAAGATCAAGTTAGAACAGTTGGAAGATCACCTGCAATTTGAAGAATATTCAATTCTGAAGTTTTCATAGACAGGATTTCTCAGTTGAACCTCGCAATAGACATCAACATAGGCATCGATGCAGGCAATCAGCACCCCATCGATACCATCAGAACTATCATCTGGTCGTAGAGCTCGGCAGCACTGTCGACAAGAAAACAATGCACCAGATCTGTAGCGAGTATCGACGCAGTTGTTGGGCAGAGGAGCCAGAATGAAGGCTAATGAGCGACTGGACGACGAGTAAACTGCGTTGTGCAAAGCAATACAGAAGAAGATTCAGGAATACTTTGACATTTACCGGTGAACAGGGTTAAGAGAGTTCGCATTAAGGAAGAATAGCATGAAGGCTTTGGAAATGAGCATTCTCCTAAAAGAGCGGATTCCGGTAGCACTAATGAACGAAACAGATCGATGTCAAAAATTTTGAGGGAATTTCTACAGCAATCTTTACTCCTCAAAGGTAAGGGGAAACCAAAAGGTGCCTCATGTTGTCCCGTAAACCATTCCAATAGCAATAATACCATTTGTTTTGTTAGAGTCGGCATAAAACCGTATCATTTCACGTCAGTATGGATGACCCTGTTCAAGGCCCTTCTGGTACATCAGACTAATGAGGACGCCAGAAACATGGGAGTGTTCTTCGATGATTCTTCTGTTCAAGAAACGTACTGCGAAGATCTCCGAACTATCGACCCATCACTTTCCTGTCACAGGTGCACAAAGTGGTTAGCTAACTATCCTCAGTCGTACCCGGAAAGACGTAGAACTGCTCGCTAGTAAAGAACAAGCGGTATTTGATAGGATTCTCAGCATACAACTGAGCCACTTCGTGAAGCAGTTAGCAGTGAAGTGTAAAGGGTATGGATTATCCGTCTGCTACGCATTCTTTGACGTTAGGAAAGCGTTCGATTGCATCGAGCTCAGCGATATCCTTAATGCGTTATAAGACTGCGATATCAACCCCTGTATACATCGACCAGATCTGGGAAGTGAATTCTGTCAGCGCTGTCGACATCAAACTGTTCGACGAACCCTGTGGAATCAACATCAAAATAGGAGTCTTCAACGGATAAACCAACCTTTGTTAGCTTTTCGCGTAGGTGCTGAAATTCATCTTCGACTTTCTGACCTGACGGAGAACAGCTCATCTTTTTGTTCTTTGCAAATGACGTCATTATCCATGCCAGAGATCAAAACATTGCTGATGGATGACGAACTATTCATGTCCGCGAACAAACAACCGTTCTACTTCGCCTTTCTGCCCGTCATGATATATAGTGCGTAGTGCTGGTCTACCATATAAGCTGAAAAAACACTGACGGTAGCGCAAGGGGGTGACTGAAGAAAGAATATGCAAGGTCCCCCTTGGAGAACAAGAGTTTTGAAGGGCGATGATTCGGTGTAAGACACGATTTTTGGATCCTGTCACTACCGCTTACAAACTCAATAGTGATGGGGGTGCCATGTGGCTTGTCTGGAGAACAGCAGGTGCAGATGCAGATCTGGAACTGTCAACTAGATCTTCCTTGGCAACAGTCGTCCACTGACATTCTCGGATGATGCAGTTATAACGCTGTTTGGTGAATCATGGAAGCAAAGGGCGCAACACAGGAGAATTATCAACGTTCATTGGCTCTAGGGCGTGGCCGGTGACGAAAGGCAAATCAGATAGAAGGTACAACGATTGCCAAACCTGTCGGATAGTTGTTGAGCTTTTTCTTTCTGAGTAAGTGCCTGTCTCACCATCATAGCCATCATAGTTTTGTATGTCTGACACGCCAGGCTACAAGCTTACACATGCCAGTCTGTTTGGTTTCAGAGCTCTTATTTCCTCTGAACATATACAATTAAGGTATACAGGCACTGGGTTTACGGCGAAAGATCGATTGTTTTGTTGTCTTGAGGTAACTTCACAAGTGTACTCTAAACGACCAACAGTGCGATGACACGTCGATATCCGCTATTCATGACCAAGAATTCCGTCATCTCAACGTATATTGCTTACATGTTTAAGAACGCGTTGTATTCCGGTGTAATTATAACAGAGGGGATGATACGCACCGCACTGCTGCCTGTTGCGAGCGCACCTCCTGATTGCCTTACATTTACACATGAAAAAGCTGATTTCATGTGTCTGTGCCATTGAAAACCCCTGTAAATGTTTAACATTATTTTAACAGTGTTTCGCGGCGTACTGTAGTGCAAAGTAGAAAGCAGATGGCAGCAGGGTAAAGCATATTTTTCATATGGCTGCAAATATTGTTTCTTAAATTAAGCACCGGGTTCCGGACGACTGTTTCCAAGCAATCCGTAGCACCGCATCATTAACCGGTAAAGAGATAAATGGCTACCAGCTGAGCACGAGATAAAGTTGTCGGGGTTTTTCACTTTTTAACTTGTATCGACTGTCTTTTTTCGTTGCGGTCTGTAGATTTTGTTATGAATGCTCTCTTGTAGGCAAACGAGACCGTCGACGAAGGAATTACGTCAATGACCGAAAGTACAACGTCGACTGCGATTTTGGACGGATCTTCGGTTAAAAAGTAAGTCTCGCTTTTGAAACTCGACTCATTTTATTTACGTCACTACTTCACACGTTGTCGCACATGTGATCTGTTTGCATTATGGCGTAACATAGCCTGTAGTTCGGTTTCTTGATCTTGTTGAATTTGGTTTATCAGTCTTGATGCCCATTTAGTTGTTCTTTTGGGAAAGAATTTTTTATGAATATGGTTTCGACCGCACTCTAATAAAAATAACGTTTCAGCCCAGGAAAGCGGAAGTCATCTTCGATGTTATCAGAAGCAATTTTTCCATAGGTCCATTAAGCGTAGTTTTTCATCTGTCAGCAAGCAGCCCTATAGCCATTCCCTCTATTAATTTTCCTCAGTGAACGTCTTCCAGACAAACTACATTCGTCTTAATGCAATATTCCCGTTTTTAATTTTGATTTGAGCTTTCAGCGTTTAAATAGCACTGACCGGTGTTGAAAATGATTCATACAATATAGGTTAAAGGTCTTCACCCTCTTTCTTCTCCGGTTTCATCGAAAACAAAGCCGGGTGCCGTACAAGCATTCTATCTGGACCGAATAAATGTGTTCATTCTTCAGATTTTTGCTTAGCAGTGGCAGTTCTTCCAGGCGACCTAACCATCTTGTTGGAAGTTTTTTTGGGGTCCCCTGCAATAAGGTTTTACGTTCAGAACTTTATTCGCGAGGCGGCTGTCGACCATTCGTTGGCAATGGCCGCGATATTTTAAATGCATTCTGTGCAGCAAATGCGTGGCTTTAGTTCGATATTCTAATCTCTCTTACAACAGTGTTTGATACCACATCGTAGCACCT